TATATGTAGCTTGTTGTATACTTATCATGTAACTGTAAAACCTTAGGAAACTGTTCATATGATAGTTCTATAATAACAAACTAATAAAATCTAATCGGCCAAGAAAGTGGCCTTAATAACAAAAAAAAAAAATATTTTAATTTTAAATAATTTAATATTTTAAAAAATTTTTATATCAAGTAATATTTGCATATTGCAGATTATATTTTACAAATATCTAATAAGGATATATTTATAAAACTCAAATTTCTTGTATTATATATTTATTATACATCAAAAAAATTTTATTTCTACCTCAAATATGATAATAGATAAAATAATTACTAGGTTCTCTGATTATAGTATATATACTTTTTATATTAAGAATAAGCCTACTTCTAAAGGATATAAAATTTTATCTTTATATGAATCTGGCTATATATATATATTTATATTTATATTAAGAATTAAACCTAATATTGAACAAATTTTTTTGACTAGGCTGTTAGTGAACTATTAAAAAATTGAATTGTTTTGTGTATTGAGTATAGAGCTTTTTGAGAAGTAAACTTGCTAGTAAGTTGATTATACTTAGAGCTATATGGGTATCTAAGTAAGTCTAGAATTGTAATAATCATTCACTATATATATTTAGTTGAGCTCATTTATATTAGTAATAGTTACTTGTATTATGATATAAGGATAAAGTCTCCTGCATATTTAGTTTAGCTTTTGTGTTTACATGTATAGTTTAGTTTTATATGTTTATATTGTAATCAGTATTAAATGATAATAAAATAAAAGGCAAGATCCTCTTATAAGAAAAAAAAAATAATATTGAACAAATTCTGAATATAAATAAAACTATTGCTGAGATTTATTTTTTGATAAAACAACTTCTTTTCAACAAATCATTCAATATTTTTATGGATAATTATTTTTCGAGTATCAATTTGTTTAATTTTTTTTATAATAATGGCTATGGAGCTTGTGGAACTGTTTAAACTAATACTGCAAGATTCCCTGTTATTTTAAAAAAAGAAAAGGAAAAAGAATTAGAATGAGATTTTCTAAAAGGCGTAGTAGTAGATAATGTATTGGCATTACTTTGAATAGATAACGGCCCTGTGACAATGCTAACTATGATACATACTATTGATGGAGAAGATAGTAGAATTAGTAGAGAATAAAGAAGATCACGAGAAACAAGCACTAATGATAAAAAGATTAAATCAGTATTTGGGAACTCTTCACGAAAAGTTTTGCCTATTCCAAAAGTTGTTGATGACTATAATTATAATATGGGAAGTGTAGATATAGCAGATCAGTTACGTAGCTACTATTCAACACAACTAATAGTTCGTCAAACTTGGATGCCTCTATTCTTTTGGTTATTGGACACATCTATTATTAATTCTTTTCTTATATATAAAAAATTAAAAGTAGATATGAATCATAAGGACTATAGATTAGAACTAATTAAAAATCTAATTGTTGATGCATCAGATAATCATTTAAAATGTGTAACAAGAAGTAAAGACCAAATTCAACTTGAAGAAAAAAAAGATAACACAAAAAAGATTAGAATTAATGAAAATTTTGAATTATCATTAGATAGATTTATTGGTAATGATCATCTTCCAGTATATAATGATAAGAGAGATGTATATTTATAGTGTCACTATATAAGGAAAAAAAATAATGAACCACCTTTAAAAAACTCACCACAATCTCAACTTTGGTGTAGTCATTGTAGCATAGCATTATGTTGCAACAAACAACGTTCATGCTTTAAAGATTTTCATACAATTTCTGAGTAAAAAAATTTTGTATAAGTTTTATATTACCTTTTTTCTTTATTAAATACTTATAAATCAATGTTATTTTCATTTTATCAAGTACAAAATTTGAAATTTAAAGAGCAAAGCTGTTACAAATAAGGTAATGATTATGATAAATTGTTTTTATGAATTAATGTATTTAAACAGGATTAAAAATTTAACATCAACATCACCTGTGTCATATTTCTGAAGTTAGAAATATTTTCGCCCTTCTTTAACTTTTTTAAAAATAGGTGTCTGAAAAGATAATATTAGAATATCATAACTATTAAGTTTTTTAAATAAATACATAACTTTTCGTTATTATTATTTAGAATTGGGTTAGTGTCTTATAATAAAACAAAAAAACAAACAAAAGTATAATATAAAACTGAGAAACTGAGATTTATTGGCTATTCATAGCATTTAATCTTCTAGTCTAATTTATCATCATCTTGCATTAAGTTTATCTAGTAATAGAACACCCTGTTTAATATCAAATTCCCTTGATCTGATAATTTAAGCAAGTTAAATATTCTTACAGTAATATCATATATTGTGAAAGACACTGAAGTGACTCAGGTCAAATCTTAAACCAACCAAAATTCAATTTAGTAAATTAAATAAATTAATTGAATTAATCAAATTAACATTAAATTAATTAATAATCGAATTAAGTAGTTTTAGTCAAAAAATTCATAATGTACACTCCAGTGCGAAAGTATAAAAACACTACATTTTGTCTTCAATAAAGCAACTCAACTCGGTTAGAATTCAATATTAGAAAGCATTGATAAAATTTAAAAAATTTGCATGTTGAATAGCACAATTTAAATGTCACTCAAGCTACTATTCAAACTATCACATAACTTCGTGGACATACATATCCATGAAATTATGTGATAGTGTTGAATAGTAGTTTGAATAGCAGTCTGAGGGGCATTTAAATTGTGCTATTTAACATGGCGAATTTTTAAAGTTCACCAGTGAGGTTTTCGCTTAATTAATCTCCTCTGATAAGTAAAATCTACGTTGAGATACAGTAGTAATTAAATCTGTGATATCATATTATGAGACTCGTGATGTAATTCAGAGCTCTAATTGACCCCAGTTATTCAGATCAAGTTTTCAACACCTCAATCGAAACCTTGCCATTATTAGGATTTAATTAGAGTAGTTTAGTTAGTATTAGTGTAATGTTGTAATATATTTGTATTATCTATATTTCTGACCTATACCTTGAGTGTTCAGATTTATGTAATTTCAGGAATTTTTCATTGTTCAAACAATGAAAAATCCCTGAAATCGTATAAGTCTAGACACTCTACTTATACCGAGTCTAGAGAATTTCTGCAGAGATAGACATGAATATACGATTAGCAAATCATAACATGAGTGATAATGTAATAGTCAAAAAATACTAATTAAATTCTGAAGCCGTAATAATAAAATTTGTAGAAAATATTCAGTTTTGTAAATTTTCTATATTATATATGGTGTAAATATTTATTTTTTAAAAGGTGGTAAGTCTAATAAAAAATTCTTACAAAAATTTAAAATTTACATAAAAAAATTCAGAACCTAGAACTTAAAATAGCATTATCAACGAGAAAATTTAAAGAAAAATAATAATTAATTGAAGACTTTTAAAAATAATAGTTCGAATTTGGTTGTACTAATTATTACTTCAAATTGCATGTCTCGAAATAATGCCCCAGGACATTATTTCTCGCAAGTATGATAATTAAAATAATTTAAATCTAGCAGGCAAATTTGCCTGCTCTACGATTGATTATCATTTTTACATAACGCAATTTGATTGGTTAAAAATCTAGCAGGCAAATTTGCCTGCTCTACAGTTGATCATCATTTTTACATACGCAATTTTATTGGTTAAATTGAAATTAAATTTTATTGGTTAAATTTTTTTAATAATGACGATAATTTTATTGTACTAATAAAATTTTAGATACTGTAATTATTTTTGAAAACTAATAATACGTAGTTCGAAATTTCTCTTATTATATAGATTGTTTGATAATAAATTTTAATTAAATTAGATTGGTTGCCTGCTCTACAGATTAAGGGATACCTCATTCAAGGTGTGATATTTAACAAATTCAGCCAATCAGAAATTTGTATAATATACCGATACTAATTTTTTTTTTGTAAAAAAAAAAACAATTACAAGAATGACTTCAAACGGCCCCACAACCGCTAAGGATGGACTTTCAAATGTTAATGTAACTGCAGCTCTGGACGTTGAAGGCAATGTTCCGCTAGAGAGCGTTCAACTAGACGGATTGGTAACTTTAAACTTTATGAATTCTTAGTATTTCAAATAAGATTTCTTAAAATTCTTATTCGTTTAGGTAGTCTTAAAAATAATTAAGCATTGTCGAGAATTTTTTCCTAATCCAGTTACTGGACAGCTTCTTGGCCTTGATGTAAATGGTATTCTGGAAGTGACTAATTGCTTTCCTTTCCCGGGTTCAAAGCCCGACGACGAAAATGAAATTGTAGATGGTTCGTTTGATCAGTTATTGTGAATGATCTTTATAACTGTTTAGGAAATTATTATTACCGAAGCATTTTAATGAGAAAATATGCAATATGTTTACATTTTTTTATAGGTGCCCGATATCAAGTAGATATGATGCGATGTCTCCGCGACGTTAATGTAGATCATAATACTGTTGGGTGGTATCAATCTACATATCTAGGTTCTTTCGTAACGCATAAATTGATTGAGACTCAATACAATTATCAACAAACATTCAATAATAAAAGCGTAGTCATTGTACATGGTATATAGCGTTAGTCACATTTGAAACCATATTACATTAAAAAAGTCTAATAATGATTTTATCCTATATTAGATGTTTCTCGATCAACTCATGGAAATCTATCTCTTCGTGCTTTCAGATTTACACGAGCTTTTATGGAAGCACAGAAAGAGGGAAAGTTTACAACTGAATCACTGATAAAAAATAAACTTACTTTTTCCACTATTTTTGAAGAACTTCCGATTACGGTTAAAAATTCACATTTAGTGACTGCGCTTCTCCACTCACTGGATGATTATGAGCACGTTATACCAAAAGCATCCTCATTAGATAAAGAAACAGTTGTTGGCCCTTTATCACCCAATTTTGACACTT